ATCCTTCATTAACATTACAGGTCCCTTCCCCCTGCACCTGCCCACTCTAGGAGCCTCCTTTATTGCTGTCAGTTGGAAGGACAAGGGGAGTCCACTGTGTTCTCCTCGCTTCCCCTCTCTGCTTGCCAGCATTGTCAAAGAACCAAGCTTTCCTTTGAGATGCTGATGAGCATATCAAACTTGGTGGCACTGTTAGAGCTGGTTATAGGGTGTGTTTTTAAAATAATTAGTTTACCAAGTGCTCATATACTTAAACCCAGATCCTCTGAAACAAAACCCAAGAGGGAAAGGTCCAGTCTTTTGGGCAATAGAAAGCTTTAAAGTATCCTCTTTGCCCCGTTTACTTCTTCACATAAGCATCCAATATAAATCCTGTTTCATGCTTATCTAAAGGCTGAGCTACCTCTTTAGAAAGGTCTTGGAAGTATCAGAGGTCCATAAGATGTTTTGTTAAGATCTGTTCCTGCAAATCTCAGTAGTTCATAAGGAAAAATCTCCTGGATTTCAAGTCACCATGGCTTTGAATAAATAGCTAGAAAGCTGAAGCCTCATTTGGTTTCAGAGCCAGATGCAAAATTTGTGGGTTGGAAGTGACCCCCTGTCATCCAAGTGCCTTTATGAAGAACTGGGAAAGCAAACTTGAACAGCTCAGGTTCAGGCTCAGCCTTCTTGGGACAAAGCCCACAGAAAGCTCCTTTCAGGGAAGTAAGCATTTCAAACTGCTGCATAGTAAGTACTTCTACTTACTTCGATGCTCAATCCCATCAAACACATTTACCCTAAATTCTGAGCCCTACTCGCTATAAATGAATATGTAAACAACTTACCAGTTTTATTCCTTTTTCAAGTAAGTATTGCAAAGAATAAATACCATCCTAACACCTCTGTCCTAAACATTCCCTTTTTCTTTAGAACCTTAATGTGGATGCAAGTACAAACACTATCCCATCAGGAATTCCTCGAGAGCCATTGTTGCCAGTTTCTTCTGCTCCACCTGGGACACTTGAACGGTCTCCTTCCCCCTCCCAGTCTCCTGAGTAAGGATTTAATTGTATGGCTATTATGATTCTGCTCTGAGTCAAGAATTTGCCTTTTCCATCAAGAGGTTAGGTGGAACACCTTGATTGGTGGTTGACATTACTGTGAAACATGGCATGCAGGACACATGTAACAGAAGACATCCATGTGGTGGTAAAACTCTGTAAACTGGGAAATGAACTCTTTAGGGCACTAATATACTGCCTAGTTTTGGTTCTCAGTATTGGCAAATCTAGCTAAAAGGCTGCTGAACCAGCTTACACTTAAGAACTTATTGAAGGAATACAGTGTGCTGGTTTTATAGTACTTGAAATTGGCTTATTACATAGATAGTGTTCATACCTGTGTTGTTTGAAACTGGACAATTGGATTTATATCTGAAAATGTTTGAGTTGGGGGAATAGATTACAAAGTGTGTAGTTGCCAACTGCAAACTTTATTAGACTTTAATGATTTCTTATTTTAGATTGTTTTAAACAGAGTTAAATCTGGATGATTTTTTTATAGTGATTTAACATTTTGAACAACCCAGCCTTGGTTACAGGCAGCAGTTAATTTATTTATAGCTGTAATTTTGTAGTCAAAATCGCAAACTTCTTACATGCATTTTCTGATCGTATCTTGGTTGTAAAGTTCCAAATGAAGATTAATTTCTGCTTTTTCATGAGATTCATGCTTTGATGTGTGCCTTGCAGTGACTCCAAGGTTGTGGATAAGCAACAGAGAGACGCGCAGAATGTGGAAAGGCTTTCTACCGCGCTCAGTACTGCATGTAAATCAGTACAAGTCAACGGGGCTGCCATAGTAAGTGGTCTCACTAGCTAACTTTTTGTTTTATATGCGATACATTCAGAAGTATTTAATTTCATTTAGTGTTTAGAAGTGCTTAATTCCATAGCAGTCCCATTGTGCTTGGTACTTACACGAGCTTAGCATTCTTTAGCTTGCCTCAGGTCTTGTCTCATTACTTGCATGATATAACTGTGTAAATTCCTGCAAAAGTGCAAGAGAGCTGTTCATGAATATCCTCTAAATTCCCTCTGCTCTTGAGATCTCTGTCCTAAGTACGAAATACCAGTGAAGATTGTTTGAGTGTTAACCAACACCTATGTTAATCAAATTTCAGAAAACAGTTAATTCCTTCTAGCCTATTGTTTTATTCAGGTTCAGAAGGAACCTGAGTGGGAACTCATTCCATTTAGGAGATAAACTTGGTACTCTACAGCATGCAGCTGCTTCACTTTTGCTTGAAGCTACTTGTATTTCATGTGTGGGATGGGCTAAACCAGAGTTTAATGGCCCCCAACATGAATGGCACGCCAGGCTGTTTTTCTTGGCACGTCACACCAGCCCAGGTTCTGGGCAGCTGCTGCCAGCCACAGACCCTGGGCTGCTCACAGCAGGTGGCTACAAGCCCTGCTGCAAGTAGCCTGGGCTCTGACGGGTAGCAGCTGCCCAAAGCCCAGGTTGGCTGCAGCTGGGAGGCTGCCAACAGCTACACAGGGCTCCGCAGCCCCAGCACTAGCTTCGTGACTGCGCACGCACCTTGGGGGCACAGTTGGGAAGGGACCTGTGGCAGTGCAGTCCTGGCCATTCCCCTGCCATCTGCCTGGAGGTGCATGTGCAGTTGCTGCTGCCGCCACAGAGCTATTGCCTGGGCTGCAGAGCCCAGTGGAACTGCTTGCAGCCTGTCTGCTGCAACTGCCCAAAGCTTGGGCCAGCTGTGGCAAGCAACCAAGAGGCTGCAAACATCTGTACTGGGCTCCACAGGCCCAGCACTAGCTCCAAAGTGGTGGCAGCTGCACACACACCCTGGCAGATGACAAGGGAGGAGCCAAGGTTGCACTGCCCTAGGCCTCTTCCCAGCTGTGCAGCCAGAGGTGCATGGGCAGCTGCAGCAGGCTCTGGGCTCTGGTCCATGGTGGCAGCAGGTGCACACACATGTTGCGTCACACAGCAGGAAAGGGGCCCCTGCCCACCATCCACCCAGAGGCGCACGTGTGCAGCTGCTACCAGCAATGAGGATCGGGCCCCTCAAGGCTAGCCTGCCTCTGGCACGCCAGGCCAGGGCACGGCTGGAGGTTCGGGTGTTTTTGGCACTCTGTCCAAAAACATTGCTGACCCCTAGGCTAAGCAGTCCCTACAGTTGTTGTATCTTTCATTATGCAGAATTGATTTAATTGACTGGCTGTTAGTCAAGATTTTTTTTTAAGTTTATGGAAGTGTTTTTGCCCTGTTTTGGGGAGGGAGACAAATCATCCAGTTCTTCCTATACTGATTTAACAGCAGGTTTTTTTGTTTACCTTAAATCTCACAGGAATTACGAAAACCTAGTTATGCAGAGATTTGCCAGAGAACTACTAAGGATCCACCTGCATTGCAACCCCAGAAAGAGCAGAAGCCAAACACTGTAGCCTGTGGGAAAGATGACAGAAAGCCCACAGAAACAATAGAGAAAACCAGGGAACCCCCTCCTGCAAAGTCAAATCCTGGACAGCCCAAAGACCAGCGGAGACAGTCAGGACGCCGATCACCCCCTCCAGCCATTGGCAAACGTTTAAATAAAGAACAGAATACCCCTCCAAAATCTCCTCAGTGAAGCTGATGCTTGGGAGGGTTGAAAAGAGGTCTGCTTCCCACAAATTAAACCCATGTTCCCACTCAGAGTACAGAGAATGAGCTGCTGGTTAGGAGCTTGCAGTGGAATTAGGCATATAAGATGCCTGCAAGCTGGTTTTGGGTTTTTGGTTGGGTTGTTTGTTTTCGGTTTTTGTTTTGTTCCCCCCCCCCACCTCCTCTTTTCTGTGAATTCCCCCCTGGAGCAAACATTCACTTCCCTTCTCCCCCTTTCCTCCCCCCTGAGAGAGTAATTAATCTAAACCTTACTTAGGTTGGTGCTTAACTGGAGTTGAGGCTTACTCTGATATTTTTTTTTTCTTTTCTTTCCCCCAAGATGTAAAATGTTTATCTGAAAAATCAACTTTTTTTATTAAGCCTCCGAAGTGGCTGTGTATACAAGCTCTGTATAGTGAGTTTTTTTTCTAAACTATTAAGCAGAACTGTGCTGCTGCAATTTTTTTTAATCAACTGATCTGCAAATACATATCTCTAAAATGTCCAAAAGACTGATGGCAGCTAGTGTACAGAGTGCAAGAAAAAACAAGTACATTTTACAAAATAGTATACTCTGACCTTGAGGATTTTTTTTTATTGGGCTGCTGTATCAAGTGTCCGCAAATAAACCTGTATTTTTTAGGTTGAACTAATACAGTTGATTCTAGCGTTTTTAAAAAAATTAATCTTTTTTTGGTGTTTTGAACAAAAAAAATAACCAGAACTCCTGCACCGCAGAGGTTTTCTAAAATATTTAAGTTTTGATAGACTGCAAGCAAGTAACCAGCTTCTCACTCCAGAAAGAAATGGATACTATACGAGTAACAAATACAAAGCACATTGTGAATAGAAGAGAATGAAGGCCATGAGCTTTATATAGTGGTGAAGTCTGCTAGTGGATGTTAACACAAGAAAGCACAGTAGCCTTCTTGTGATAACTATAACTTGGTCCCGAGAGGGAGGAAGTGAATAGTCACCACTGCACGTTCTGGTTACCCCTGTGCTCTGTGTAGACATTTTAAAATTCTGCCCCAAGTGCTCTTTGAAAGAGTTCACACGTCAGTCAGCCTAGAGTTGACGTCTTCCTGTAACTACAAGCATTGGCATATGGATTTAAATTGTTCGAGCTGTGAGATGATGGGTGTTTGTTTTGTGCAGTGGAGGAAGAGATCCCTGCTATTTACCTCTGGGATGAGGTTTCTCACACTTACTACTCTAGAAGTGATGCGCTTTCTGAAGGACAAGGATGCACTAAATTAGCAAGTTTCTAATAAGGTTGAATATAAATTATTTTTTTGTTTTAAAATGCCTAAAGTTTTTCTTTAAGTGTTTAAACAGCAGGCAGTTCAGACAAAACTCTTTCCTGCTAACTCTAACAGTTCAGTTTATTCCACAAAAATGTTTATTTAAACAACTGATTTTTTTAAGAATTATTTCCATCCAATATTTAAAGACTTGAATTTTATTTAAACTTGAAAATGACTTTGCCTTAACTTTTGTACAAGACAGCTTAGAGTTAATGAGGTCTGGCCCTGTTAAGGGTCAGCATGAGTGGAATACAGAATTACTCAGTTACAGTATGTATCTATTGTCACTGGTCTTACTGGGTAAACATACTGTAGTACAGGAAATAGCAGCAGTTTTTGTAATATACCTTAAAGATCTTAAACAGTTGATCTTTTTCAGATTGTTGAAAAATCTGTAAATGCAAATAGTCAATACTGTATTAAATATGTGCACTTGGAAGTGTGTGCTTTGCTTGTACAGTTGTAAATAATCAGAACATATAAAAAGGTACCCTAAAGAAAAAAATCTGATAAAAATTATTGATATTATAAATGTTGCTGTTGAGCTGGATGTAGATAAACTAAATGTTGTGGTTTGAATATTACTTTAATTTGTTGTTTTTTCTGTTTCTTTTTATTTTATTCTGGTGTGCTGAACTGACTCTGCCTCTTCACTGCAAAAGGGAAATGGAAAGAAAGTCTTACTTAAAAGCCCTCAATTGTTTTCATAAGTCTCTCTCTAAAAGTGTGCATTTTAACCGGTACAAATGTGTTCTGTAACATAATGTAAATACTAAAGTCTGGCCAGGTGGGCAATTGAACTCAAATTTATTATCGGGTTGTTTAAAATTAGGGTAATAGTTCAGACTGCCAAGGGAAAATGAGCCATGAAGCTTATTTGACCACGTCTCGAGGATTTCAGAGCTTACCTAGAGATACGATAACTGTCTGTCACAGTTATTTCCTGGCAGTTTTGATGCGGTATCTGCTGCTAGTTAATTGACCTGTTAGATGCAGCCTGCTGCATGTTGCAGAATTGGTTAAAATGGGCAAGCTTGACTCTATTTGTTCTTCTGTTAAAAAGCACACTTTGAATGCTGTGGGAGGAGATAGGACTCTGATAACAGCGAACATCACCAAACTGCTACGCCAGTTCTGTCATTGGATTTTAATGCTTATCCTTTCCCCATTGGGCAGTGAAAATGGCAGCTAGACTTGTATGTGGTTTAGGCCAGCTGTAGGATTCATTTTGTTTGTCTGCTGAAAGTTGTAAAGCTTACAACTTTAAAGCTGCAAACAATGAAAAATGGTCCCTTACAGCAACAGTGTACAGCTAACCATAATAGCCAAATGGTACATGAGGCAATATATTGAGACCAGCAGGATGTGTTGTGCTGTTCTAATGTACTCTGCTGCCATTTGTACTAGGTCAATACACTGTAATTACTGCTTACCCAGCAACAGTCTGTTGCATCAAAAGTTTAAACCTTGCTCTGATGTGGTTTTGTAGCTTTTAGAAATTATAATTAAAAAAGACACGCCAAATAGCTGTGTAATATACAGAAACTTATCCTTATTACATTTACTTTGAGATTTTTTTTCACTCAATGACAAAATGGAGCTTTCGGAGTAGAGAGTTGTGATGTTGCATGCAGACTGTTGCTATGGTACATATAGATATTAAAATGTGGCTTTTTTAAAGTTTAAAAGAGAGGATCTTCCCCAAAAACAGCATCTGAGTTCCAAGTTCAGAAGCACAGTAATTAAAATTGGCATTTTAACTTGTAGGATTGTGTGGTGGTGATTTTCCTTTGGAAGTATAAAAAAGTTACTACAGGAACTGAGACTGTTCCAGGAATGCATATAAACACAAAGGTTGCTTTTAAGATTTAACATTAATTTCATTTCAGAGCTCTCCCCACCATGACTTCAGTTTGTCACTTGGAAATCAGTGAACTGTGGCAAATGTTTTATGTTGCTGCATTATCTTTTGAAGACTTCAGCAGTTGACATAGAAAGGGCCCTAGTTTGTGAGCGTGATGCAGTGTATCACAAGCAACAGCTGACTGTAATGGTGCATACCTATCTCTGTATCTCCTTCAGCTAGCTATGGTTAGGGATTTTTATGTGCTTTGTAACCTATTACACTAATAGCAGCAGACAATCGAAGACTGCGAAGGAGACCTAACAGCTGCCAATTCATGAAATAGAGTGTAATATGGAAGCTTTCTTGAGGGTTTTTGTTTTGTTCTACTTCTTCCATTAAGACTGGAATCAAGCTTACATGTAAACTATTGGTAATTTAAGTTTCCTTTTGTGTCATAAAATGTAAAACTGTCTAATTTGAAAAAAAAAAAATATGTAGGTTATGAAAAATAAAGATTAGGCACTGTTGAATTCTTCTTGATTTTTTTTTTTAATTAAACCTTTCTTCAGCAGTATCTTTCAGTACCTTCTGTCCCTGCTTGCATTTGTAGAGATTGCCTTGGTTCAAAGTTGCTTTATACAATGGATACTTTTCCTATAGAAATCCCTCAGTGAAAATAGACGCTTTTACAAATAAAGTTTTACTCATAGTCAATATTTCTCCAGAATTATAAAAATGAGGAAAGATTGCAATGTTCCAGATGATCAATGCAATGTGTTTTCCATATTGTAGGTTAATCTTTATATGAATGTTTGTTTTTTCATTGCAATACCTCTTAGGCATTATGAGTCCAATTAAAAAAAACAGCAACAACAAAAGTTTTGGCTTGAGGCTGAAACTGTGCCCTGGTTGCCTGACTTTAAAATCTAGAATATTTTAAACCACTTCCTCAATTACATATAGTTATTTTATTAAATGGGGGGGGAAAAAAGGATTTCAGGATGCTCTGGCCCTCAGCTAGAAACCCTTGTAAAACTGTAGATTACTTGTTCAGCACATTGTGACGGTTATGTTTTGTATATACCAGTTTAAAGGAGCAATTTCATGTTGCAAAAAAATTCTGGGCATGCACAGTAAGTCTTGGCATGTACAATGTTAAGTTGGTATAGCACTAAAGTCTGTCTCCATGGATACCAGAATATGTATTAACTTGTGTTGCATTTTCTTTAAATGTACAGTAGCCATGGTCTACACTGTTTTTCCTTAATAACTACCACTAGGAACAACAGAGAAAAATGTTGGGAGTGCTAATTTAGACAAATTCTGATTTGAATTTTTAAACTGTAGGCATCTGTCAGAAAACCTCAGTATGTAATCTACACATTTTAACACTTTGTGCTGACAAGGCTGGTTATGGTTAATGGCAACTGCCTGATGCAGATGGTGTGGCCATGCCCTTGTTTAGGATCATGGGAAAAGAGGCCTGGAAGGGACCTCACAAGGTCATCTAGTCCAGCCCCCTGCTCAAGTTAGGATTATCCCTGATTAAACCATCCTAGATGCACATCTGCTCTTGAGTATTTCCAGGTATGGAGACTTCACAGTTCCTCCAGACAGCCTGTTTCAATGTTTGACCACCCTCATAGTCAGAAAGTTCCTCCTAATCTTCAGCTGAAATTTTCCTCTGATGCTTGAGTCCGTTGCTGGTAGTCTTGTGCCTTCTGGCCACGGAGAACAGTCTATCTCCATCCTCTCATCGCCCTTCAGCTACTGGAAGATCGTTGTAACCTGGAGCCTGGAGGTTCCTGGCTAGAGGGTCTCGCCCCTCTGCTTAGGGTCACGCTGGTTGCCTTATTTGGTGTCAGGCAGCAGTTTTACCTTATGGTCCGATGGGCTCAGATTGGGCATTTTTGCCTTCCTCTCTAGCAGGGCCATGGCCTGTTTCTTAGATCTATAGTGCATTTTAATGGCCTTTGCAGCTGCTGCACGTTAGCCACTGTTGTCCCCCTATGGCAGGCTAGGGGGTTATGCCTTGTGGTTGTGTTGGGGTTGACTGTAGATAGGCAATGGATGTGTTTAGGCTGGCTTGGATGGGGGTGATCCTGCTAGGGGGTGGATTAGATCTCTGCAGATCCCTTCTAGCTCTACTTTTTGATGATTCTACAATCCTGTGAACCTTGGAGGTATTTTCACACTAGTATTGTACAGCACCCTTAAAATGATCTTAATGCACACCAAGGGTGCCATGGTACCGCAGTCGGGAGTCACTGAAATAGACTATTGTATGCCTATGTAGACATCTAACTCTAGTACAAATCTTTTCAGTTTTGCTTTGGGTAGTATTTGCTCACCAAACAATATGTAGGGCCAAAGCTTTTCACAGAGCCTACACAACTTGAGCATATAGCTTTGCATGCTTTTTAATAAGCGTGCATAACGTACAATACGGACACGTTCTCCCAGTCTGATAGCTTTAGGGCCTCCTTTGCTATGGGTAGCCTGTTGTCTACAAAAGGGTAAATCCGCTTTGCTGTGGCATGCCAGGGGTTGCGATGGGATAGATGGATAAATCTGGAGTTAGAGCAGTGCAACTGAGTAGATGTAAGCAATTACCAAAGCTCCCAGATAGTATTAGAGATACTAAATAAAAAAACCTCTCCAGTTCTATTCAGTTGCAACAGTAGTCCCAGGTGCGCCCTGCGCAAACTCCCACTCCTTCCAGTGCCAGAGGAAATTCTGCTGGAGCCTCCTATTCAGCTTAATTTCTGCTTCTCTCTCTTAACAAAACTAGCACCCATTTCCAGGCTTCTCTAGCAAATCTTGCCACTTTCCTTACCTTTGCTTAGGACCCCAGGTCAGTGCTGGAGATCTGTACTGTGGTGTCGCCTGTGAAAGACGACAGTTTGCTATTTGCTTCTGAATTATGAGGTATTTTCAAAGGTGATAAATTAACCTTATTTGAGCACTTAATTATGTTAATTTGACTTTTTGTATTAACTGGACCACCTTTTCCAAATAGAGTTGGTACCACCAGATCTTTAACATTCAATATGATATGCTTGAGGGGCTGTGGGATAAAAATCAGTTTTAGGTTGAATACTGGATTTGCTGATATTGACTACTTGAATGTTTCTAGTTATTGCTGGCTTTCTAGTGCCCATTAATGTGATATTTTGCTCCTTTCCCGGAATGTCTACGTCTGCTCCCTGGAGAAAGTCACTAAAGGGCCTACCACCTGGAGCCAGCTCTCACCAGCACTTTTCCTTTGCCAGTGGTTATAAAGGACGTCCTCTTCAGTGCAGTTATGCTAGACAAGATGGAGCTGGCATGCGAGTCTTGCCCGTTCTTTCTAGTTTGCATGTTTACAAATTGGTGAGATTTGAACTTCTGATGGGCCTTTTTTGCAGAAGTTTCCTCTGGGTTCTCACTCAGGTCTGATGTGCTGGGAACACAGCTGTCATCCTGCATGTTAAGTGGATTGTAGCAAGTTGTCACTCAGGCAGACTCGGGAACCAGTCCCTTTATTATATATCCCAAGAGCTTGTCTCCACAGAAAACAAAACTAGTAGTCTTATTCCAGCAAACAAAAGTCATCTCGCCACAGCAGCCAAACAAGTACAGGTACAAAGGAAAAACACAAACTAAACCTCTGATCTTCCTACAGACCTGGAGGGGTGACTGTCCCGTGCTTCTATCTCAGCACCAGTATCTTCCCTTCCTTTCTTGGGAGCTTTTGTCTTCCTCTGAGCCCAGGCTCTCATCTCTGTCAGCTGAGTCAGTCTGGTAATTGGGTGGCTATTGTCCCCTTAACCCTCTGCAGCTGGGTTTTAGTGCCTGAGCCCTCCAGCTCCCTACAGGGATTTTTCATTCTCCATGCTTGGCAAAAGCCAGAGGGTGGAACTACCAAACCCCTGGGAGAACCACCTATTTCACATGACCTGGGTGACAAATTGTATGAGGATGTTCATGACCAAAAACCAAGCTAAGGTAAGGAGGTCTGGACTGTTTTCATGACTTCAGAGTATTACCAGGAAAGGAGTAGTTGGCAAGAGTGGAAGAGGCAATTTGTATACCTTTTATGGGTGGGAAGTGGGAGCTAGACACAAACTGAGTAGAGGTAACACAGGCTGGCGCTGCCCTCATATCAGTATTGTAGAAGCCAGGATTTCAGTAGTCCTCTAACGTTGCAATAAGAAGCCATTGCCAATCATTCTAACAAGTTAGGAACTTTTCATGTTTCTGCTCTTGCATTAGTTCAAGTGCACTAAGGAGAAGTTGTTTGGGGTGGGATCTTTTCATGCATGGAAAAGATGAGCAACTACAAAAAACAAGGGCCAACTTGATCTTAGTCCCAACTTCTACCTTCCAGGCAAAAGATGTGTAGCAGGTGGTGCTATTCAGTTTAATCCTGTTTTCCTCCTCTTCTATGACCTTTTATGTATCATGTCTTAAGGATTTTCAACTTAAACTGGAGAAGCAACTCTGGACCAGAAGCCATAACACTCCCTTTCTGGGTGGGTGGGTGCCTGAACTGCTAGGTTAGGCCAAGACGCTTGTGTATTTTTTCTACAGCTTCAGTGGAGGAGCAGAGAGTGTTTGCACTCAACCTGCCTGGTGGCAGAGCACCCTGCCGAGAAACGGGAGCCGTGGGTATGGAACTTTGAACCCAGGTTTCCCCTTTCTGGGCAAACGCTGTGACCACTGGGCCTTTGTATGAGAAGTGGGCACATCACTAGTGCTTCTCTGCATCTCTGCTTTAAGCAAACATGGCCATCGCTACATCCTGTAAGGAGTGCGGTCTTTTTAGTGTAGGAGCTCTCGGAGCAGGGTCACCATGCGGGGGGGGCTTAGGTAGGGCAGTTTAGCAGAACGACCCCTTGTTCCTGGATGCTGATTGCTGTTGGGAGTCTAGTTTTTTAGGCTGAACCAATTCTGAATATGTACTGATGCTGAGCAAAGTAGACCTTGGTGGCCCTTTGTTTCACCCTAACATAGGGGTTGGCAGCCGTGGCCTATGGAGACATGGGCTTTGGTCGTGGGGGCTTTGCTGGCACAGCATCAGGGAAAAGTGGCAGCAGCCAAGCCCTATTGCCAGCTTGCCTCAGACCTGAGCTGGGCCATTCTGGCCTGCGGCCAGGGAAGGTTGCCGACATCGTTCTAATAAATTTAAGCTGCCTCCAGGATTGCATGGCACCTCAGGGAAGAGGGGTTGAGCCACAATTTTGGCTTTAGATGTTTCGAGTAAGGCAGAGGTGGGCAGTGGGGGTGGAAAGGCAGCAGGCTCAAGCAGCTACAGGGTGACCAAGCGCTGCATCTGGACTGCCCTCACTCACCCCTCTTCCCTGCCACCAACAGCCACATCCATTAGAGTCCAAGGGGGTGTAGGAGACACCCCTGAACTTGGCCCCCAACTTCTGGTAGCTTGATGGGCTGGATGGAGTGGTACCAGAGGCCAGATGTTTGACACTGGTGCTATAAAAGATTTAACTAGGGTGACCATTGGGATATTGTGCCCCCCTCCCCCCCGGTC